TCAGCATCGGGGCATCATCTTCAGCAGCAACATCATCATCATCATCAACATCATCATCATCGAGACACCATCACCATCGCCACCGTCATCATCATTACCATCATCACCGGGGCACCATCACCATCAACATCAGCATCATCCTCATCACCATCATCGGACCACAATCATCAAAATCATTTTAATCACAACATCATCATCCTCATCAACATCATCATCATCGCGGCGCCGTCATCGTCATCATCATCATCGACAACATCATCATCATCTGGACACCACCATCATCATCAACATCATCAACAGCATCATCATCAACCTCATCATCATCGTCGGGGCATCATCATCTTCATCATCATCTCATCATCATATCATCATCATCAACATCTTCCAGATCATCAACATCATCATTGTCATCACCAGCAACATCGTTATCATCAACATCATCATCATCGTCGGGGCACTATCATCACCACCACCATCACCATCATCATCAACATCGCCAACCTCATCTTTGTCATCATCGAAACACCATCGTCATCACCACCATCACCATCACCATCATCATCATCAAACTCATCGACACAATCATCATCATCATCGGGACACCGACGGGACGCCGGCGGGGCGCCGGCGGGACACCGCGGGGCACGGGCCCCCGGGAAGGAATCACGCGGCCCGGCCGCGCCTCAGCCGGAGGCGGGGCACCGGCGGGACACCGCGGGCCACCGGCCCCCGGAAAGGTGTCATTTGGTCCGGCCGCGCCTCAGCCGGAGGAGACTTTCTTCTCGCCGGCCCGCGCAGCTTCGCCTCGCCCGCGCGCGCGGCGCGCGCGAACGCGAAACCGAATCCGATTTCCTGGTAGGGGGCCTTTCCGCTCCACTTCGATCTCGCCCCTCACCTGCGATATCTATATATATATATATACACAGACATACGTATACATATATGTGTATATATATATGTATGCCCCTTTCTTGGTTCTTACTTTGTTTATGTTTCTCTCTCCCGCGCTCTCGCTCTCGCTCTCGTTTTTTTTTCCTCTTCTTTTTTCTTTGGGGGGGGGTGTCTGCGTGTTTGTTTTTGTTTGGTTTTCTCTCTCTGTTTCCTCTCCCTCTCTCTCTCTCTCTCTCTTTCTCTCTCTCTCTCTCTCTCTCTCTCTCTCTCTCTCTTTTTTGTTCATTTCTCTCTCTTCATTTCTCTCTCTCTCTCTCTTTTTCTCTCTCTCTCTCTCTCTCTCTCTCTCTCTTTCTCTCTCTCTCTCTCTCTCTCTCTTTCTCTTTCTCTTTCTCTTTCTCTCTCTCTCTCTCTTTTTTCTCTCTCTCTCTCTCTCTCTCTCTCTATATATATATCATCTCTTTATATATATATATATGTATATTTCTCTCTTCCCCTCCCCTCGCCCTCTTGGGCCGCGCCATTGTTCTGCCGGCTTTGGCGCGATGTGCGCCCCCCCGAGCGCGGCCTTCGAAACGCTGGCCCTGCGCCGGAGGCGCGGGGTTGGACTCTCGAGGGCCATGCTCGGGTGGGCATTTTTTGGTTCTGCTGATTCTGCGAGTGGACGACGGGCCCCGCTCTTTCGCGCAGCTGCCCGGGCCGCCGCGCCGAGAAAGCAGCGGTCGGACCTGGATCTCTGCTGACGGCGCCAAGGTCGAGCTGGTCGAGCTAGTCCACGGTTCTCGCGTTTCTGAAGAACTTCCTCCTTTCTCCTCTTCTTCCCCCATCCTGCCCCCCCCTTTCCTCGGCCCCCGTTAGCGCGCCCTTCCGCTTCGCCCCCTGTTCTCTCTTTGCCCCCCCCCCCCCCGCCTCCTTCTCCGCCTTCCCCCGTTCGCCCAGCCGATGTTCGGCCGGCCGCGCAGCTGCCGCGGGCGCCGAAGTTGGCCGGCGAGATTGCGGGCGGCCCCCGCCAGTTTTGAAGGGCGATAGATGGGGTTCGCAACAGGGGGTCGTCAGCGGGGGCTGACTGGCCCGTGCGTGCTCAATGCGTCGTTCATGTGCGTGTGTGTGATCGGGTACGATTGGCATCCAATGCTGGCGGTCATGGAGGGCCAGTCGCGCGTGCCCGCGCGTTGCCCGCGCGGGAAAACGCGCCGTCCATCCATCGTCGTTCATGCGCGCGGGCGTTCTTGCATGCCGCGCGTGGGGCGGCAAAGTGGAATGCAAGTACGTCTTGATTGTGCGATTGATGATCGCGCGCGTTCCATAACGATGACTTGTCGACTTGTCGACCCCCGAGACAGATTTGGAATGGGTCCCGTGAGTCCCCCAAAATGTGAACTCGCATTTTCCTGTTTTCCAACGCGTGAATTCTTCGCGCTTCGCGCATCCCCACCAGCCCATTCCAGAACAGTCTCTTGTGCGAAGCATGCCGGCAGTCGTGGCTTTCGGGCGCGCCTCCTCCTGCCCACGCATAGATCCTTCTACTTCTCTGGGTCTTTCGCTCTGGGGGGATCTTGGGGGCATCTTGGGGGTATTCCGGGACCTTCTTGGGGGTAGTTTGGAGGTCTCTGGGCCCTTTTGGGGTTCCCGTGGCGCCTCTCGGGGCTCCCTTGGGGGGGTCTGGGAGGCCTCTTGGGGCCATCTTGGAGGCGATCGATCAAAACAGGGACGAGCACTTTTCTCTGTCCCCCCGTCGGGTCCCGAAACCCTATGAAATTACAGCATGCGGCGCCTTTTCGGTTGCCCATCTTGGGCGCCCTGACGACCCGCGGAACGGCCTCTCCAGGTCCAGGGTGGTGGGGGGGGGGCATGGGGAAGGGGTAAACCCCTCCCCGAAGGGGAAGAAAGGGGTCGAGGACTGAGAGGGCCCCCTAAACCGCTCACGCCCAGAGGGCTGGTGGGATTCACGTTTTCCTTTTTCGCATAATGTGATTTAACATTCTGGTCCCTTCATGCGGATTCCTATACATGCAATATTCCAAAATGTGAATTCACATGTCCCTTTCTTCCAACATGTGAATTGACAGTTCCATTTTCCCCAAAATGTGAATTCGCATGTTGGGTTCCCCCGCAATGTGAACTCGCATATTGCCCTGGCCCTCGAGATCCCCAAAACTGAGGCGCAGCGTTCCGCATGTCAGATTGGCTAGGCAGGCTTTGTCATTCACCTCGCCGCTTTCGTTTATTACAACCTTTTCTTTTTGGGCCCTCAGCGCGCGTTGCCTTCGTCGCCTTTCCCGAGCCCCCCGCCCCCTTGCTTCGCTCGCCCGCGAGTCTCGCGCGCGGGCGCAGGCGGGGAGCTTCAAGCGGCCCCCATGCCGAACGCAGCAATCGAGGGCGCATCGGGGATCTGCGCCCGACCCTCGCTTTCACCTTCCAATAGTTGCTCGCGAACGCGGAGTTCGCGGAACGCAACGCCCCGCGCGCCGACCGCCCGAGCCTTTTCGGCAGGATCGCGGCCGCCCTCTCGCGCGCGGAGGACAAGGCGCCGATGGTTCTGCTCGACGTGGTCCGAGCGGCGGGGGGCGTCGGCGAGATCTCCGTCTTCGGCGGCCTCCTCGCCAATGTTGTGGATCCCCGAGGCGGGGCGATGATCGCGGTTGCCGCGGCCGAGGCGAGCGCCGTCGCTGGCGTGGATCCCAGATCAAGTCATGGCAGCGCGGGGCCCAGCGCGCCCTCGTCGCCAGGGCAGCGCTTCGCGGCCCACAGGTGGCGGTCGTTCGGGGGGGGGCGCGGAGAGCGCGAGGTGGCCAATTGCATCGTCTCCGTGGCTGATTGGGCACAGCTGCGCTCCAGAGCCGCGCTCGACGAGGAGAGCGCGACCACGGCGGTAAAGGAGTTCAGCGAGTTTGAGTTGGACCACTCCCAGCGGGGCGCGGCCAAGATCTTTCAGTTCACCGAGGAGAGTGCGGACAGCGTCTTCCACCTCGACACTCCCGGGGGCACCGCCCGCGCCGTCGTCGAGCCTCAATCGGCGCCTGCGCCCGCGCATCGCCGCGGCGTCAGAAAATTGGACGGCGGTTCCGTGGCGCTCTGGGGCCGGCCCGACGGCGCCATCGGCGGAGACGCACCTGCGCGCGGCCGAGTTAGGGGCGTCCGCGGGCGGTCAGGAGTTGAAATCGTTTTCCCTGAGCACGGCGAGCGCGGGCGCTGACGCGCCGATCGACGGGGGCGACGCCTGCCCGATGCCAGCCGCGGGTGCCGATGACTTGTTCCAGCCGGGACCTGGCCTGCAAGGCGCGGCGGGCACGGGCGGCCCTTTCGAGGCCCATGCGTGGGAGTGCGCTGATTGCAAGTCCTCGCTGCAACGGCGCTCGGGGATGACGTCTCGCCCCGGCATCTCGCGCGCGCTCCGCGACCCCCATTGCGCCGTGGAGGTCGCAGTCAGGCCCCGGGGGCGCCGAAACAGATCATGCCAGCTCACGCGCGGCCCGAATTTCACGCGGGAGGGCGGCGATGAGGTTAATGCGGCGACCTCCGCGGACTGCGAGCGCTCAGGCGTGGTGTCCGATAGCAGCCAGAGAGCGTCCACCGCGTGCGACTTGCGGTGCCGCGAGAAGCACGTGCTCCGTCCCTGCACCACCGCTCGCGGCATCGATTGGGTCGCGAAGGAGACGCGTTCTCGGGCGGGGCCGATGGCGGGCGCGGGAGAGAGTTCGCGACGGATTGGCGCGCACGATCGCCACTCAGGAGATGCAGCCGATCAAGGGGCGCCGCAAGATCATCATCGGCACAGGGATTAACGACGGCACATTCTCGAAGCATGACATCCACTATGCCGCGGCGAGGTGTCCCCCGCCGCGCGGCCGAGGGCGGCCGCCGCGCTCGTCGGCGGAGACGGTCGCGAAAAGCATTCGCCGAGCGCAGCGACGAAGACAAGGGGAAGCGCGTCGCCCGCAAGCTGCCCGCGGCGACGAAGGGGGCAAGGCAGAGAGGGCCCGCGAGGCCACTCTCAGGAGGCAAGGCAGAGAGAGTCCGCGAGGCCACTCTCAGGAAGTCCGCCCTCCGCCCGGGGGCCGCGACGAGGCCGGGGGCGGCAGAGGTCAGGAGGCCGCCCGCCGCGCCAGCGCACAAGAGGCCGCCCGTCGCAGCGGCGCGCAGGGGGCTGGGCCGCCCGCCGCGGCCATCCGGGAGGGGGCGCAATGCCGCGGCAAGAACAGGGCGGCCCGCCACGTGCGCCGCAGCCGCGACTGGTTCACGACCCCCGCGCCAGAGGGTCGGATCGCGGCTGCCATCGAACAGCGGGGCCCCGACGGCAACGGCGCGGCGGCGAAGGCTTCGGCGCGGGCCCTGGAGAGGCACCCCAACGCGAACACCTTCGCGCACGACGGGCGCTGCTCGCTCCACGCGTCTGCCCAGGAGCTGGCCGCCCGCAAGGTCATCAAGCGCTGGTCCGCGGACTGGATGCACGCGGAGGGCCGCGCCAGCAATTGCTCGCGCAACCCTTGCCACGTCCAGCGGTTGAGCCGCCGCCTCATGGGGCATCAGCGCGCAGGCCGCCGAGCAGTCTTTCTCGCGGTTCAGGGGCTCGGCGCGCCCGCTCAACGAGGTGGCGCCCCTGCGCCGCGCGTTCCTGGCCCTTTACTTCGCCGCGCTGCGCAACAAGTACACTGTGGAGAGGAACGCGGGCTACCTGCCGCTCGTCGAGAGCGCCGAGACCACGCGTGCCATGGGCGGCCATTACGGGCGCCCGTGGAGCGGAAGATCGCTGAGACAGGTAGAGTATCGGAGATAATGTTTGGAGCCGCTACATGGGCACTTGCAACTTCTCTGCGGCATTGCTCAGCCTATGTGCTGGGCGTGGGTTAGCCAGTGGATGCTAATGGTTTTGCTTGAATTCGCTGCTACTGGGGCCATGGTTTGCGCCGTGGCAGTTTGAACGTTCCGGGGTTGAACGGATTGGCGCTAGGCTTCGCGCGCGCAGGCGCTGGGCTGACGAGCGCCATGGTGCGTCAGGTGTGCCACTGGGGCACTTCAATATGCCATTGGGCTTAGGCAATATTGGGGGCCGTGGCATGCGCCATGACGCATTGTGTGGATAGTGCACAGCTCTGGCGCTAGCTTAGGGCTGACCACTGCGCAGGTGCGCCGCGCGCGCTAGCGCGGCCCCTGCGCGGCGTGCTCGACTTCGGCACAGGGGGGGGGGGGCGTTAGTGGTCATGTTGCGTGGGAAACATGACCTTGCGTCTTCTTCTTCTTCTTCTTCTTCTTCTTCTTCTTCTTCTTCTTTCAAGCCGCCCCCCCCTCGTTCCCCCGCGCCGCCCCCTGGCCTGCCCCCTCGCGCCCGCCCCCGTCGCCGCTCGGGCGACGCGCGCGGGGAACGGGCCCCGCTTCTCGCGCTGGGCGAGACGAGGGCACGAGAGCGGGGGGGGGGGGGAAAGGAGGAGGAGGAGGAGGAGGAGGAGGAGGAGGAGGGAGGAGAAGAGGAGGAGGAGGAGGAGGAGGAGGAGGGGGAGGGGGAGGAGGAGGACGAGGAGGAGAGGAGGAGGAGGAGGAGGAGGAGGAGGGGGAGGGGGGAGGAGGAGGAGGAGGAGGAGGAGGAGGAGGAGGAGGGGGAGAGGGGGAGGCAAGTAGGTGCGCTCGCGTCATATTTGGACGTCCTACCCCTCCCTCCCACCCCTTACCATGGCGCTGATTTTCTCTATCCGCGGACGCGTGTCGTAGCGGACCTGTGGCTCCGCGCGCGCGTGCGTAGTGGGTGGTGGTGCGCGTGCGTGCGTGCGTGCGTGCGTGCGTGCGTGCGTGTGCGTGGTTGTGGTGGTGGTGGTGGTGGTGGTGATGGTGGTGGTGCTGCTGGTGTGGTGGTGGTGGTGGTGGTGGTGCTGGTGGTGGTTGTGGTGGTGGTGGTGGTGGTGGTGGTGGTGGTGGTGGTGGTGGTGGTGGTGGTGCGGCGCGGTGGTGGCGGGCGGATGGGCGCGCGAGAAAGAGGCCCGCGCTGGGGCGAGAACGCCATCCTGAACGACGGAGGCCAAACACCGATCCGAAAATGAGGCCCACGCTGCAGCGGGAGCACGATTCGGAACGATTCGGGGGCAGAAATGAGGCCGGCGCCTCAGCGAGAGCAGCATTTTTCTTACAAAAAAAAAAAAAAAACGCAAGCGAAAACCCGTTTCCCGGGAATCCTGTGTGTAAAAAAACAGTACGCGGGGGGGGTCGGCCATCTTCGGGACGCCATCTGGGGAAGTGGGAGAGCATTTTCATATTGTGCAATTGTAGAGGGGGGGGGAAGAGGAGGGGGAGGAGGAAGAGGCCGGCAGGAAGAGGATGACGAGGACGAGGGGGAGTGGGATGTTCTTTTTCTTTTCAGCCCCCCGGGAAAATCGAAAAACCTACAGCGGCGGCTTCTCGTTTTCAATATTTTTCGCGGGGGGGGGGAAGAGAGAGAAAGAGAGAGAGAGAGAAAGAGAGAGAGAGAGAGAGAGAAGGAAAGAGAGAGAGAGAGAGAGGGAGACATAGAGAGAGAGAGAGAGAGAAAACAACAAAATGATACAGCAAAAACATAATGAACACGCGCGCGCAAAAAAGAGAAAGAGAAAGGTACAGAGAAAGAGAAAGAGAAATATAATTTCAAGAGAAAGGGAGAAATAGAGAGAGAGAGAGAGAGAAAGAGAAAGAGAGAAAGAGAGAGAGAGAGAGAAAGAGAAAGAGAGAGAGAGAGGGATAATAAAAAAGACACCAAACAAAAGGAGAAAAGGAGAAGGAGAGAAGGAGAGAAAAAGAGAGGGAAATAGAGAGAGAGAGAAAGAGAGATAGAGAGAGAGAGAGAGTGAGAGAGAGAGAGAGAAAGAGAGAGAGAGAGAGAGCCAAACAAAGGGGAGAACAGAAAACTGAGGCCCCACTGGGGAGGAGGAGGGGGCGCGGGGGAGGAGGGGGAGGGGGAGTGGAGGGGGGGCTAAGGAAGGGGGGGGGGGAAGGGCGCCTGGAGAACGCGCGCGCGCGGTCTCAGCGCGAAAGCCTCGCGCGCGCGCCTCCGACCCCCCTGTGATTCCATTGCTCGAGGTTCTAGTCGTCGCCTTGGTTGATGGGGGCGAGTTCAAGAGCGCGGAGGTGGCCGGCGGGTCGCGCGCCGAGAAGTCGCCGCGCGCGTTCATCTATTCGAAGCGGGCGACAGAGGATCAAAGGCGGGGGCGGCGCCGCCCATCGCTGGCTTCGCCGTGCGTTCGTTTGGCGGCGGCGTTTCTGGCGCGGCTTGCCGGTTTGGCGGGCTGGTGGAAGTCGTCGAGCGCCTTGGCCTGGCGGCCCGGCACGACGCGCTCGATGGCATGGCGCTGGAGTCGCCGACCCCAGATTTCATCGGGGGGGGCCGCGCTCGCGCAGCTCCTCGACATGATGGGTGACAACGTCGCCGACGAGGACGTTTCGCGCATCTTCCGCGAGGTGGCGCTCCATGGGGCTAGCAGGTCTTACGCCTTGCATGGAAAGGCGCGCCAGCCTTCGAAGAATGGCGTCGGCGGGAGGGGCCGCCAATGCTTTGGGGGGAGGGGGTGGGGCGGGCGGCGCCTGCCCAAAGTGCGAGGGCGCGGCTGCGCCCCCGACGCGCAGGTCGCGCATCAGAATCGCGGCGCTCGTCGCCGCCGACGGGGCGAAGGCGGACATCGACGCGCAGGGCTTGGGGCGGGGGGGGGGGGCGGGGGGGGGAGAGGATGATGATGATGATGATGATGATGATGATGATGATGATGATGAGGAGGAGGAGGAGGGGAGGGAGGAGGATGAGGAGGAGGAGGAGGAGGACGAGGACGAGGACGAGGAGGAGGAAGATGGGGGAGAGGAGGAGGAGGAGGACGAGGAGCAAGAGGAAAAGGTGGAAGGGGAGATGGACCCCGACCGTCGAGGTCGTGATTCGCTCGCAACGTCGGCCCATGGGTCCGGATACCTGACTAGAATCGGCGTGTCGTCCCGAGTTATTTCGCGGCGTTCTGGGTGGGTCCCTTTTGAGTCTGAGCGCGAGGGCGAGGGGTGCAGCTGGTCTGGACTTCTGATGTGCTGGATTTGGGTGGCCACCATGCCAATTGCAGCCATCAGCGACACCCATCGGTTGATCTTCGAACGTATCTTCCGTCTGCGCGAGGCCGTGGGGGCTCCATTTGCCCTCGTCGCTGGCGTCGCCATCCTTTAAAAAGCTGCCGCGCTTGTATACCAGGGGGTCGCAGCAGCATCAGCAACTGCAGCGGCAGCGGCGGCGTCTCGATTGGAGTGGCGTCAGAATCATGCCCCGTGCGCAACGAGAAAAGCGCAGCGTGGTGGCAGTGGCGGCGGTCGTCGTCGTCGTCGTCGTCGTCGTCGCCCCCCTGCCCCAGCGACTGTTCCTTCTTGCTTCTGCGAACGATGGGGCACTGCCGTTTTGACTCGGAAGGTTACGTGAGCACTGACAGATTGCTGGCATGTTCGTGGTGTTCTTGGTGGCGGTGCAGGGCCGTTCTTCGGTGAATGAGTGCTTATTTCTGTCGCCTCGAGCACCGTCTCCAACCCGTCCATCACCGATTATCAAGCGCGTTGGCTTGGCAAAGGAAGCGTGAGATCAGGAGGCTTTTTGGCCTTGCAGGGCTCGCCGAGCTTCCCGTAGAAGTGCGCGGTGCTCTTCGAGAAACAGGGGCCAGGGGAGAGAGCTCCAACCGCTTTGGGCAATGCTGGTCCCGGTGGCCCGTTGGGGCGGACGGCTGTAGTCATCGGTTCGCGCTGCCATCCAGTCGTTTCGCGGGGCAGGTTTTTGGTTTCGTTGGGTCGGCGAAAAAGTAGGGCGCCTCCTTTCGGGCGCGGAAGAAGACGAGGGGGGCGGCGGGGGGGAGGGGAGCGAGGAGGTGGCGTAGGACGGGAAGAAGAGGGGAAAGGGAACTGATAATGGCGGATGAGGACGATAAGGATGATGCACAAGGTGATAGGTGGTGTTGACGAAGATGATGTTGATGCGATGATGATGAGGATGGTGATGCTTATGTCGACGATGATGATGATGAGGATGATGACGGCGCTGATGATGATGTTGGCGATGACGATGATGATGCTGATGATGATGATGATGACAGGACGAGGATGCTGCTGATGATGATGACGACGGTGGCGATGATGACATGATGCGGCTCGCGCGCGTGATCGGGCAAAAGGCGGCGGGGGGCGGCGGAAACTGGCGCAGGCGCGCGTTGGTCTTCGAGAGAGGTTTACGTTTCTCGCGCGCGGGTCTACGAGGCGGGCGCCGAGAGGTGCCCCAGCTGAGGAGGCCCACTTGCCTTTCGCGAGGGCGGGGGTCGCGCGGGAGAGGGGGGGGGGCGGAGGGATGAATTTCTCGTCGCCCTCCATTATCTCCCTTCTCCCACTTTTTGTTTTGCCATCGTCTGGCGCTTGCGACGGCGCGCTGGCGCGCGCGCGCGCGTGCCAGGACGTCCGCGCCACATGCTGTAACAGTGCGAGCAGTTGCGCTTTTCGCATGGATGTGCGTGCCGCATAGATACAATGCACTCTTGGTTTCGCATTATAGGTGCTATTAGCATCGACGTTGTCACGTGCGTCCACGTGGATGTATACAGCGGCGCGCGCAACGCCGGTCCACTTGTACATGTACGCATGCAGGTGCACACCCACGGCGCCATCGCCATCTCGCGCTCGAAAATACAAGAGAGTTTTCATGCATGTATGCGCCAGAGGGACCAGAGCACTACGAGACCCCCGGTGGTAACCAGGCTGACGATTTACCGCCGGCGCCCAGTGTGTTTTCGGGGCGCTCGGTTTTGAAAGCCGTACGAAACCAGTGCTTTTGAAGGGTCCTGGGATGCGCGCGCGACAACCCGCGCGTGCGCACGTCGCCCCATTCGTTGCAAAGGATTCTTGCGACATCGCGCGCGCAGGGGCGTTCGAATGATCTCGCCATACGCGTGCAAGGGGCACGCGTGGTCGCATTTGATGAACGTGATGATCACCGATGGTGTACTTCAGACTTTGCAAAGGCGCCAACGCAGGTTTTTGTTGAGGGTTCGTGTTGTGAAACCACTGTTTGTTTTTACATCATTTTTTCTGGACATTCGATTTCGGCATCCTCACGACACCTCAGGTGTTTAAAGGACTTCGGGACGCGCGCGGGACGACGCGCGCGTGCATCTCGTCCCGTCTCTTGTCGAAAGACACTCTTGGGAAACATGTTCGAACATGAAGAAGTATGTTTTGTAAGGGTTGAAAGGGAGGGTCTCGATATTGGTTCTGTTGGGGCCATATGAATGAGCTATGGGGCCAAATCTCAGGTAAATTGCACATCCCCAGGTGGAGTAAGTCAAGTTTTTGGATGGTGGTGGACTATCATTCCTTTCTGGAGAATGAGAGCTTATGTTGTGCAACATGTGTGGTGCGATTTGATTGCGCAATCTATGTGGTGCAACCTACGTGTTGCAATCCACTTTGACTGTCTTGAAGCTGTCGTCTCCACTGCTCGTGCAAACATCCCACCCTCCCACCCGCAACTTGGTTTGCAAAACCTCTTAAGACCGACTACGACGACACCGACGACAACGACGACGACGACACCGACGACGTCTCCGACGACTTCGACGACGACAACGACGCCGACGCCGACGACGACGAAGACGACGACGACGACGACGACGCCAACGAAGGCGACGACGAGGGAGGAGGAAGGACAACGACGGCCACAACGACGACAACGACGACAACGACGAGGGAGGAGGGAGGACGGCGACGACGCGAACGACGACGAAGGAGGAAGGACGGCGACGCCGACGACGACAACGACGAGGGAGGAGGGAAGACGACGACGAGGACGACGACGACGACGGCGACGAAATAGGAGGGACGACGATGAGACGCCGACGACGGACGACGACGACGACGGGGGAGGAGGAGGAAGGACGACCACGGCGACAACGACGACGGAAACGACCACGACGCCAAAGACGACGACGACGACGAACACCAGGAAAGACAGAGGACGACGTAGGCGACGACGACGACGACGACGACGCGGGAGGAGGGAGGACGGCGACGACGACGACGACGACGACGCAAGAGCGCGCGCGCACGCTTTTGTTGAAAATCCGTGTTGCGAAACCTTGGGTTTTTGTAGGTTTTTTGGACGCGCGATTTCGAAATCCTTTCGAAACCGATGGGTTTTGACGGATTTCGGCGTACGCGCGCGACGACGCGCGCGTCTGCACTTCGTCCCGTTGTTTGCAAAGGATTCTCGCGACGGCACACGCGCAAGGGCGTTCGACAGATCTCGACATGCGCGCGCGCGCGACCCCCGTTTGGTAGCATTTTGGGAAAATCTTGAAAAACCCATGGTTTTCGTCAGATTTCGCAAAAGCTCGCGCGGAAGCTGTTTTAGCAAATCAGTGTTGCGAAACCTTGTGTTTTTTGTATGTTTTTTTGGAAACTCGATTGCGAAATCATTCCGGCACTGAAGGTTTTTGAAGGATGTCGGCATGCGCGCGCGACGACGCGCGCGCGTGCTCTTCGTCATGTTTTTTTGCGAGGGATTCGCGAAAAAGTGCGATGTTAAAACAAAAAATGTCACCGCATAGTGTTTTGTACAAGGGAATTTCAGGGGGGGGGAAACTGGCCCGCCTGGGATGGTATGATTTCATATTTAGGATGGACGAGTGTGCAGAACATAAATGAAACTATATTATCCCAGGGGGAAGCGTTAAGTCCAAGGGGAAGCGTTATTGCCGAACTTGAAGTTGTCAACTCCACTGCTCGCGCAAGCATCCCACCCACCCACCCGCAACTTGGTTTGCAAAACCCATGCGGGACCGAAAACAGATATCGCTCTGGGGTCGTCTTGGAGCCCTCGGGGGCGTCTCAAGAGCGCCCCAAGAAGCCCGGAGAAGCAAGACGGCCGACGACGACGACGACGACGACGACGACGACGACGACGACGACGACGACGACGACGACGGCGGCGACGACGACGCCGACGTCGACAACGACGAAGACGACGACGCCGACGCCGACGACGACGACGACGACGACGACGTCGCCAACGAAGACGACGACGAGGGAGGAGGGAGGACGACGACGGCGACAACGACGACAACGACGACAACGACGACAACGAGGGAGGAGGGAGGACGGCGACGACGCGAAGGACGAAGAAGGACGAACGACGGCGACGCCGACGACGACAACGACGAGGGAGGAGGGAAGACGACGTCGAGACGACGACGACGACGGCGACGAAATAGGAGGGACGACGACGAGACGCCGACGACGGACGACGACGACGACGACGAGGGAGGAGGAGGAAGGACGACCACGGCGACAACGACGACGTAAACGACCACGACGCCAAAGAGGACGACGACGACGAACACGAGGAAAGACACAGGACGACGTAGGCGACGACGACGACGACGACGCGGGAGGAAGGAAAACGGCGACGACGACGACGACGACGCAAGAGCGCGCGCGCACGCTTTTGTTGAAAATCCGTGTTGCGAAACCTTGTGTGTTTTGTAGGTTTTTTGGACGCGAGATTTCGAAATCCTTCCGAAACCGTTGGGTTTTGAAGGATTTCGGCGTACGCGCGCGACGACGTGCGCGTCTGCACTTCGTCCCATTTTTTGTAGAGGATTCTCGCGACGGCACACGCGCAGGGCGTTCGACAGATTTCGACATGCGCGCGCGACGCCCGTTTGGTAGCATTTTGTGAAAATCTTGAAAAACAAACCATGGTTTTCTCAAGATTTCGCAAGAGTTCGCGCGTAAGCTTTTTTTGCAAATCAGTGTTACGAAACCTTGTGTTTTTGTATCTTTTTGGGGAACTCGATTGCGAAATCCTTCCGGCACCGAAGGTTTTTGAAGGATTTCGGCATGTGCGCGCGACGACGCGCGCGTGTGCACTTCGTCCAGTTTTTTGCAAGGGATTCATGAACATGTGCGATGTTAGAACAGAAAATGTCACTGCATAGTGTTTCTTAACGAGGGAACCTCAGGGGGGGAACCCTGTTGGCCTGAGACATTGTGGTTTCATATTTAGGATGGACATGTGGTCAGAATCATATGTGATTTACATACCCGAAAGGGGGGGCGATAACGCCGGGGGGGGGTAGAGTCTATTCTCTTTTTAGAAAGGAGAATTTGTGTAGTTCAGTATATGTGGTGCAATGTGTGCGGTGTAGCCTCCATGGTGCAATCTATGCGGTGCAATTTTTGTTGTGCAGTCTATGCGAGGCGGCGGCGAGACGGCGACGGCGACCACCAGACGGGCAGACAGGCCCAAACGACGGGCGACGACGAAGCGGCGACGGGTCGGCGACGGCGGCCACATAACCGTCAGACCAAAGACACGGCTCAGACGACGGGCGGCGACGAGGCGGCGACGTGGCGGCGACGGTAGCCGCCAGACCGAAGACACGGCCGAGTTCCTCATAACAGAAGTAAAATCCTCGAAGTGCAAGCATTGTTTGGGGAATTGTGTCGGACGTGCATCCCACACGATGCGACAAAAGGAGTGCAAAACACTTTCCGATTCGGACAAGTGGGGCGGTGATTTCCGCAGAGGTGTGGCGGAAACAGCGACGGCAAGGTACGGCGTGAATCGGCATCGAATGGGCTTCGAAAGTAGGGTGGGAATTTCCGCCCTACCTGCGAAATCGCCCAAAGTAGGGCGGATCCAGAGTCAGGTCAGCCTGAACCTCCAGGCATCGCGAGAAAGTCACGACGGGCCCTGATGTCTGGGCGTCGCAACGTTTCACGCCGGGCGTTTCTGCCCGGTGTCGAGCCCCACGGTCGTCACGGACCCATGCGGTTGGAACAATGCATCAGAAAGATAGGTTTAGGGCTCCGATCGCGGTTTGCCGCGATGCATTACATTTCTCCGCGACGACGGATGTCAGGGAATGTGTGAAAGGAGTCACGTTGGGCGCCGTCTCGCACGTGACGTCGGCGCTCCAGGTCCGTTCTTAGGCCCTGGGGCCATGAACAAGACCAGCCAGGTGCGAAAAACTGGTCCAGGGGGTAGGGTCGAGGACCTGGGGATCAGATCTTGAAAAGTTCACCATGCTGGAGGTCTGTGATCGGAGGCCTTGGGATCCAGTTTGGAAGTTTCTGCTCTCCAGCCTGGAGGTTGAGGCTTCTTCTCTTGAGGGTTCGGGGCCCTCTGTGCTCGTCCTGTCGCAGAGTGGCGATATGGTCGGGCTGGTGGCCACAGGCGACGAGAATTTCTCGCTCGCACGCCTGGGCACAGGGTGTGAAAACTGGAAGGAGATAGGCATGGGCGAGACGGTTGTGACTGCAAGCGCCAACCAGTGCGCGGGCCTGTGTCGACGTTCGCCGAGGTGCATAGGCGTCAACTGGCAGCCGAGGTCCTGTAAGGGAGGCGAGCAGGTGCAGCGAGGCGCCTGCATCTTGTTGGGAAGCGCCTGCTCTGTCGAGGAGAACCCCTGTTGGGACTTGTACGATGTGAGCGGCAGCGCTGTCCCGCAAGGAAATTCTGAGGGCACCGTTGCCGAGACTACGCCCAGCAGTACGCAGACGACCGTCACGCTGCGTGCAGAGGCCGCTACGGACGACCCAGTGAGCGAGGCAACATCCGTTGCCGAGACTACGCCCAGCAGTATGCAGACGACTGTCACGCTGCGTGTAGAGGCCGCTATGGACGACCCAGTGAGCGAGGCAACATCCGTTGCCGAGACTACGCCCAGTAGTATGCAGATGACCGCCACGCTGCCTGCAGGGACCACCACGGACGACCCGCAGAGCCATGCAGCACGTGACACCGTGCAGGCAACCTTCGCACTGCCCGCGGAAACAATCCCGGACGATCCAGAGCTCCAGGCCGCGGTCCTGGAGGCGCTGCAGGAGATGCTCGCCGAGGAGACCGGCGCGGCGCATGTCTCCGTCGCGCTGATAGAGGAGTGGGGCGAGGAGCACGCCGAGGAGCTTGCCGCACTGCCCCGGCAGCGGCGGCGGCTCCGCGTGGCCGCACCGGAGCAGGAGGTGGAGGTCACGTTCACGCCCGCTTCTGCGGAGCTCGCCGCCACGATCGACAAGCAGCATGATGTCTTGAAGTCCAAGATTTGCGAGACTGCTGCGCGAGTGGCGAGGGAGCTCGACTGGGAGGCGTCAGGAGCAGTGGGTCAGGACCAAGCTGGCCCCAGCGCAGCCGCCGTGGCGTCGAGGCCAGAGAGCAGCCAGGTAGACAGCAGCCAATCTGACGTCACCTTTTACATCGTCCTCGGAGTTCTCGGCACCATGATGCTGGGCGGCTGCGTGGCCGTGGTCCAGCACCACGAGGACCAGAAGATGGGGCTCGAGAACCCACGAGGGTTCCGCAGGCAGTTAGTGCCGCCAGGTGGCGGCAATGACAAAGGCGCCGACGAGCAGGCGATGGAGCTGCAGCAGGCGCAAGAACCACCCTCCAGGGGTTTCGGAGACGCCCTGGCCCTGGCGGAAACGGACCTCGTGCACAGCGCAGCTGCGGGCGCCACCGCGCTGCATGTGCGGTCCACCCACGGCTTCGGCAGAGGAGATCGAGTGCAGATCATGAGCGGCAAGGGCAGCGAGACCAAGGTGGTTTGCGGCTTCGACGAAGCTACGGGCGCCATGTTGGTGTACAATGGGCTGTTTTACACCCACGCCATGGGCGCGTTAGTCAGCAAGTACCGAAGAAGAAAAAGCAACATAATCACACACTTTCGAAGGTCCGCGCGGATTTTCTTGCACCGGCGCTGGGCGATGGGCCCCTCTGGCGGCGCCTCCGGTGCCGCCCCTGGCGCGCTCCAGGCGCCAAGGAGGGTACGTGGTCCAGCGCCGATCCAAGAAATCCGCGCGGACCTCCGACAGTTTTCGGTCGGGAACGTACCACTACTACATCAGCGGGCAGTACCACTACATCTGTACCATTACATCTGTAAACTCCTGATATCTGGTTGTGTGCTCGGCACACCGTGCCTCTCCTGAAAGAAAAAAGAACGTGTGCTCAGCGTGTCCCGTTGCCAGCTCTGGCCCACCACGCCTCGGCGCGACACGCTAACCACTTGCCCGCCCCCGGGCGCGTCCCGAGCCTTCCGAAGCCTCCCGCGGAGCGGAGCGACACGCTATCAGCTCGCAAGGCATAGCGTGTCGCCGGGGACGCCGCCGCGACACGCTAAGCAAAAGCTCCTGACCGTATGCGTGTGCCGTGTTTTCTTCTCCGAGAGCACCAGGCCCCCCGGCCCGCTGGCAGCACGCCTGGGCTCGTCGACGACAGGCCTCTGGAGTGACCCGCCGCGCCGGCACCGCCGCTCGCTCGAGGGCAAAGCGTCGGTCGTGAAGAGCACCGCTGGCGCACCAGAAAATGATCTTCTTGCCTGATGCGCTCTTGGCTGGCACCAAGCGGCCCCCAGAGAGCACCAAGCTTCGAGTAGGGGATCGACTACAGAATTGATTCACTCCAGAATTTATCCGTAAGGGGTTCGCCCCCTGCCGCCGGCCCCCTCTCTCGGAGAATGGGCCATGGAAGAGCTAAGTCATGAGGCCTTGGCGCTGTCGTGAAGCAGTATCGAAACTTCATGCGAAGCCGATTCGCAATCAGCAAAACCAACTGATCACAAGAGGGGTTACCACACCTGGCGATTGGTAAGACGTGTATGGTTTACGGGCTTGGTTACCACACCTTGCGATTAAAGGGCCGAGGGAGTTCTCGCAGTTTGGGTTACCACGCCTTGCGATGGATGTGCGTGAAGGGTGGCACCGAATTTCAGAAATGTGGCAAATCCCTTGTGTTTTTGGACCCTGACCCCGCGGATCTGCGTAAGGGGTGGCGCCGAATGTCAGAAATGTGGCAAATCCCTGTGTTTTTGGACCCTGACCCCGCGGATCTGCGTAAGGGGTGGCACCGAATTTCAGAAATGTAGCAAATCCCTTATGTTTTTGGACCCTGACCCCGCGGATCTGCGTGAGGGGTGGCACCGAATTTCAGAAATGTTGCAAATCCCATGTGTTTTTGGACCGTGACCCCGCGGATCTGCGTGAGGGGTGGCGCCGAATTTCAGAAATGTAGCAAATCCTTTGTGTTTTTGAACCCTGACCCCGCGGATCTGCATGAGGGGTGGCACCGAATTTCAGAAATGTACAAATCCCTTGTGTTTTTGGACCCTGACCCCGCGGATCTGTGTGAGGGGTGGGACCGAATTTCAGAAATGTGGCAAATCCCCTGTGTTTTTGAACCCTGACCCCGCGGATCTGCGTGAGGGGTGGCACCGAATTTCAGAAATGTAGCAAATCCCTTGTGTTTTTGGACCCTGACCCCGCGGATCTGCGCGAGGGGTGGCACCGAATTTCAGAAATGTGGCAAATCCCATGTGTTTTTGGACCCTGACCCCGCGGATCTGCGTGAGGGGTGTTGATTTCGAGCCCCCCCAGCAATTCAGACAACGCGCCCAGGGGGTGCTAAAAAGCCGGTTTGGGCCTCCCCCCCCCTCGCGCGGTCAATCAACTAGTTACAGTAACCAGCAATAAGTCAACTAGTTACAGTAACCAGCAAGAAGCAGAACTGTAACACTGGAAACTACAAGCTACAACTGGTACAGGAAACTGCGAACCTCGCTCCTACAGCCTGGTGGCCCCACAAGGGGGCCGGCGGATTTTCCCGTCGGATCTGCGAACAAATACATGGAGCGCTCGGTAGATTTACGGAGCATTCTACGCATTGTTCGTGATTCTTCGGGAAGAACAAGTCTGGGGTAAATCAATCGTGTAGTCGATCCCCTACTCGAAAGCTGGCCCCAGAGGGCACCCAGAGGGAGCCCCAAGCTGCTACTATATGAAGGCGTGCGTGTATTTTTGGATGTGCACGCACGGGCGCCCAGCCGAACTGAGTGTCGTTGCTGTGGAGGTCCGGGACATCGCCGCCTCCCCGGTCCTCGGGACATCTCCGCCACCCCGGGACATCGCCGCCTCCCCGGGACATCGCTGCCTCCCCGGTATCGCCAATGTGACAGAACCAATCGAAAATGTTTCGGTCCTTGCCCGTGTGAGTCTTGGCTCCAGTGGGCCAGCCCAGCCGCCTCTGCACGTGGTCAACACCACCGTAGGCCGGCCTGCGGGCGGCACCCGGGATCGAAGGGCACTACCAAAGAACGTGGCTGAGCATACCGCAGCTGACGCCACACCACGGGCAGCCGGGCGCAGTAGCACCTCAAGTCTGAATGTGGTGTTTGGCCGGGCTGATCTTTGCACCCGTGAAGACCCTGCGAGCCTTCTCGGTGTCGTTGTTGTATGCCTCCTGGGCGACCCTGACCCTCTTGGGATCATAGCTGGCCAGCTGCGCGAGAGGCGCCTCACGTCTCTCCTTGGCTGCAGATGCCTGCTACGTGTGGTAATGCCACGCCTAACGCAGGGTGTGGGCAAGTCGTTTCGGCCGCACCCAGTTTCTGTCGGCAGGCCGCAGCAAGGAACAGGCCTCGGTGCTGGCATGGACCCATTCCCATGGCAAGTGGTCGTGGGGCTTCCGCCCTGTCCAGCGCAGGTGCCTGCTTAGGGACCCTGGCAGTCCGTGTCTGGCCTCCGGGAGGCGGGCGGGATCTCCTCGGCCTCCTGCCATGCCTCCCCTGGGCGCCGGCTGTTGCCGTCAGCGCCGGCGGCTGGCACCGGTGCTTGATGCCGGTGCGGTGCCATCACGAAGGTGCGGAGCTCCACCGCGGCGTGCCTCGGGATGTCGGTGGCCTGGAAGACGAGCTTCTGCAGGTGGCCGCACCGGGCGACAGTAACTAGGAGCGGTCTCTCGTGCCGTGCATACTCGGCCTTGCCGATCGCCGCGGATTCGAGAGTCCTCTGCCTGGGGAGGGGGTCGTGCGAGAGCGAGCGTGCGCGCCCACCCGCCTCGCCGCCTCCCTTTTCGCCTCTGGCCTCCGCGTTCCGCGGGTGACGGTGGCGCCGAGCACGATCAGGTGGTCCCTGGCACGCTCGGAGTCGATATCTCCAGGCGGGCGGCCACTCGGCGGCGACCGTGCGGACCTCTGTGAAGCCACTGTTCGCTCTCGGCATGGTCACGCATGCCCAGGGCATGCCCCGCTCGCGCCACAGCCTGGCAGCGCCGACGATGTCGTGAAGGCTGCGACTCTCCCACGCGCGGTCGTCCACGCAGGGCTGGTGCGACGCCGGAAGGGGAGGCCGCTTTCACCTCTCACGGTGCCCCCAGCAGCACCGCACTGAGCACATCGGGCTCCACGGATCCCCTTGGGGGATGCCCGTTCCGACATGCCGTGCCTGGGGGTGCACGCACCCGCCGAGGAGGAGGTGCCTGTGCTGCTCGCACTGCTGTTCACGATCGCACCCGGCATGCCAAGATATGCCGAGCAAGCCCAGCGCCCCCTGCACGAGGTGGGGGTACAGCATGCCGAGTGCGATGGGGGTGGTCCCACGACGTGCAATAGGCGCCCGTGGCGGCCTCGGCGGACAGCTGGGCGTCGTGCACCTCCTTCCCAGCCTACGCGCCCTTCATGTCCTCGCCCCACCACAGGTCCAGCCACCTCTTGTAGCTGGGGGACTTGATCCCGGCGCTGGCCCACGATCGATACCAGGCGGAGCCCACTGAGATAGAGCGGAAGGCTTCCGCATCGAGGAAGCTATTTGTGACGTCCGCGCCCGTCGGAATCCCCGCCACGCGGCCAGCACTACCCCGAGCGCCTCGAAAGCTAAGCACAGGGATGCAAAGCTTTCAGCGTGGAACTTCGCAGGGAAGAGCTCGTCTCCTGCCCAGCCGTCCAGCCCAGCGGCCTTCCCGCGCTGCTCTTGCACCGCTCTCCAGACCGAGCCTCGGGCGAGGGGCTGCCAGGGCTGTTCCTGGAGGTGCGGGACCCACGCTCCGAGTCGGCGGCCGGTGGCGTCCCAAGTCTGGGACTTCACGATCCCAGACTTGGCGCCACCTGCGGGCCCAGAAGCTCGAATGCCTGCGCGCTTGCTGTGGAGACCACGTCACCCTCCCGGACCGCTGTGCCCTTCGGGATGTTGCCCCTGAGCCACCAGTAGGCTGCCTGATCGGAACTGCGCAGGCGGCGGCGCCAGCGTTCCAGCCATTCTTATTCGTCGTCGGCCTCGCTGCGCGTCAGCGTGCCAGTAGCCATGGCGATGGCCGCCTCTGCTCGCCTCCGGCGGGCAAGTTGGGTGTCGGCTGCTCGCGTGCCTGCATCGAGGTCTGGCACCTGCCTCTGCAGCTTCTTGCGCAGGTCCCTCTCTGCAGGCGCCTCGCCCGTGAGTCTCCAGCCAGCTCAAGCGCCGCAGTTGGAGGGAGGGCCCCCGAGAGCCCCGAGACGGCCCAAGAGGGCCCTCCCGCGCGTCCCGCTGCCTTGGCACCGCTTGGATGTGCGCATGCGTTTCGGCAAGGACCATCGAGGGGCATGTTGGGCCATCCTGCGAAAACTGCACGCGTGGAGCCGAAAAGCGCACGGGGAACCAACGTCCGAGCGATGGCGAGCTGCGGTGCTTTCTCCTCGAAGGCAGAAAGCTGCATACACATAAACTTTCGAAGCTCCGCGCGGGTTTCTTGGATCGGCGCTGGGCCCCCCTGGCGGCGCTTCCGGCGCCGCCCCTGGCGCGCGGAGCGCGCCAGGAAGGGGAGCTCAGCGCAGGTCCACGAACTCCGCGCGGGACCGTCGAAAGTTCATGTTCACGCCGTTCTTTGCCCCTCTGTCACCGGTGCTCCAGTGCCCCGCCCCCCCCTGCAGGCGTGTGCGATGACCTGCTGCGACGCGGGCCCTTTCTCGGATCTGGGTCGGGGAACTGCCCTTCGTGGCCGCGGCTCGCCGTGGCCGGGAGTGCCCCCTCGTTTCTGATTCGGTGGCGCTCCTGGTGGCGCGGCGGCCCCCCCGTGGCCCACCTCCCCCACGGTGCAAGAGTCCGTGGCTGCTCGCGCGGGCAGGCCGCGGTGGCCGGGAGGCGGGCGGGCTGGCTCCTCCCAGGGCCCACGGCACGGCAGGAGCCCCTGCTGCTCGGAGGCGTCGTCTCTGGGGCTCCCATGACCTGCTCGCACCACTCCGTGGCCATTCTGGCTCAAGCGCAGACTCCTGCACCTACACTGCTTCCTCTGTCCCAGGACCCTACAGGTCCCGTGGCTTACCCGCATACGCGAGTGGACCCGTGTTGTGTCATATCGACGCGAGCCCAGATGGCGACCTGGGTTTTGTGCTTTGCGGTGTTATTTTCTCACAGCATGCAGATCGCGAGTTCCATGACAATGGACCTCAACGACGCGCAGTCACTCGTCTTCTCGGAGGTGGACGGCAGCAGCTGGACGGAATTGCTTCCCAACGTGAACTACGCAGCTGGGTCATTGGTGATGAACGGGTATCACAATATTTT